GCAGCAGCAGCAGCAGCAGCAGCAGCAGCAGCAGGTCTTTCCCCCTTTTCTGCTTCTTGCTTTTGATTTCTTTTTATTCTTTTAAAGGTGGAGACAGGGAGGTTTGGGTGTCTGCAGCAAATGTGGGGAGCCAAGGGTTTGCATATCCTCGCGCTGGTGGCGGCAGGCTGCTTCGTTTGCTGCTGCTGCAGCAGCAGCGCAGCAGCAGCAGCAGCAGCAGCAAGCGCGTACAGAAGCCCGAACGCGACCGACACAGCTGTGGGTCTGGGGGAGGAGACGGCGACAGCGGAGGGCTCGGAGGTGCTGCTGCAGCGCTCGCAGCAGCAGGGCCCAGCAGCAGCAGCAGCAGCAGCAGCAGCAGCAGAGTTGGAAGACGGCACCGTGTACTTGCTGTCGCCGCAGCAGCAGCAGCAGCAGCAGGAGCTGCTGGAGCAGCTGGAGCAGCAGCAGGCGGCGCGGCGGCGGCACGTGGGGGGCCTGCGGCGGGCCGTGGGGCTGCTGCTGCTGCTGCCGCTGCTGCTGCTGCTGCTGCACGAGTACGTGGTGCTGCCGAAGGTGCAGCAGCAGCAGCAAGCCTTCTACGAGCGCCGCCGCGAACGCCTCGACGAAGACAAGGCCTACGAACTCGTGCTGCAGCGCGAACCTGCTGCTGCTGCTGCTAGCATCTTAGCAGGAGTGGCCTTAACAGCAGCAGTTCTTTACTTTGCTTTTGCCTTCGCCAGAGTTGTCTCCCACAACACTTGGCGGCGAAAGTCTCCTTTTTACAAGCTGCTGCGCAACGAGGGCGCCGACGAGCTGCTGCAGCAGCTGCAGCAGCTGCAGCAGCAGCAGCAGCAGCAGCAGCAGGCCAGCCAGACCCACGCACAGCAAGGCAGCAGCAGCAGCAACGAGGGACCCGAAGGGCAGCAGCGGCCGGCGTCTCCCAGCCAGCAGCGAGCTAACTAGCTAGCTAGCTAGCTAGCTAGCTAGCTAGCCAGCTAGCTAGCTAGCTAGCTGGCTAGCTAGGCGGCTAGCTAAGTGTTCGGCGGGGGCCCTTTGGCGGGTGCGGAATTGCTGCTGCTGCTGCTGCTGCTGCTGCGGAGTACTGCAGCAGCAGGTGCAGCAGCGGCAGCAGCGCAGGCGGCCCGTCGCCCGCTTCTTTGGAAGCAAAATGCTGTCAGTTGCTGCAGCAGCAGCTCCTAGCAGCAGCAGCAGCAGCAGCAGCAGCAGCAGCAGCAGCAGACTGCGAAAAGTAAGCTTCTGCCGGTTTGCTGCTGCTGCCGTTGTAGCCGCGGTGCGTGCAGTGAACAATACGCAGGCAGCAGCAGCAGCAGCAGCGGCAGCAGCAGCAGCAGCAGCAGCAGCAGTAGCAGCAGATACAGTTTCACCCACACCGGCAGCCGCTGCAAGGGCAAACAGCTGGGCAGCCGCTGCAGCGGCAACTGCAGCAGCAGCAGCAGCAGCAGCAGCAGCAGCAGCAACAGCAGCAGCAGCAGTTTGCGGTGGAGAGACACTGTAAGTGTCTCCTTTTGGAAATTTGACACCAGAAAATTTGAGGTGAAGACTTTGAGTTCGTTTTTGTAACTTCAAACCTAATTATTATTTATTTATTTATTTATTTATTTATTATTTATTTATTTATTTATATATTTATTTTATTTATTTATTTATTTATTTATTAAGCAGCCAGAGAGGAGAACGCTGCAATATTTGCTGCTGAAAAGAGACACTCTTGCTGCTGCTGCACTTATTGCTGCTGCACTCGTGCTGCTGCTCCTTTTGCTGCTGCACTTTTTGCTGCTGCACTTTTTGCTGCTGCACTTTTTGCTGCTGCACAAAAGAGACACTTTTGCTGCTGAGGGGGAAGCAGCTTAGCTGCTTAAAGGGAAACACTTTGCTGCTTCAAGAGAAGCAGTTTGGCTGTTCTTTGCTGCTGCGAAGGAACACTTTTGCTGCTGCTGCTGAAAAGGAGCACTTTTGCTGCTGCTGCTGAAAGGAGACACTTTTGCTGCTGCTGAAAGGAGACACTTTTGCTGCTGCTGCTGAAAAGGAGCACTTTTGCTGCTGCTGCAGAAAAGGAGCACTTTTGCTGCTGCTGCTGAAAGGAGACACTTTTGCTGCTGCTGCTGAAAAGGAGCACTTTTGCTGCTGCTGCTGGAAAGAGACACTTTTGCTGCTGCTGCTGGAAAGAGACACTTTTGCTGCTGCTGCTGAAAAGGAGCACTTTTGCTCCTGCTGCTGGAAAGAGACACTTTTGCTGCTGAAGAGAAGCAGTTTTGCTGCTGAAGCGAGGAGCTTTTGCTGCTGCGGAGAGACACTTTTGCTGCTGCGAGGAGACACTTTTGCTGCTGCGAAGAAACACTTTTGCTGCTGCGAAGAGACACATTTGCTGCTGCGAAGAGACACTTTTGCTGCTGAGCAGAAACTGCAGCAGCAAATGGGGAAGCTGTGGCTGCGGGAGGTTTGCTGCTAAAGAAAGAACTTCTGCTGCTGCAGCAGACACTTTAGCTGCCAGAGGAGACACTTTTGCTGCTGCGAAGAGACACTTTTGCTGCTAAAGGAGACACTTTTGCTGCTAAAGGAGACACTTTTGCTGCAGCTGCTTCGGCCCTTGAAGGAGGCATTTTGCTGCTAAACGAGACAATGCGCAGCAGCAGCAGCAGCAAGAGCAGCCGCTGCTGCTGTCACGCCAGCAGCAGCAGCAGCAGCAGCTGCTGCTGCTGCTGCTGCTGCTGCTGCAACAAGGTGTCCCCTATTGCTGCAAAAGCTGTCCCTCTGGCAGCTAGCAAGAGCTAGGGTTTGAAAGCATTAGGGGGTGTTGCATTTCTTTTTATAATTGCATTTATTAAAACTTTTCGTTTTTTATTTTATTTATTATAATTGCATTTATTAAAACTTTTGTTTTTTATTTCTTTTTACCAGATTGTCTGCAGCAAAACTATTCTTCCTTGCATGCGCCAAAAGCCCCAAAAATTTCGACGCAGGAGTCGCAGCAGGACGCTAGCTAGCTAGCTAGCTAGCCAGCTAGCTAGCTAGCTATCTGCCGAGTTAGCTAGCTGGCCAGCTATCTGGCTAGCCGGATAGCTAGCTACCCAGCTAGCTAGCCAGTCGGATAGCTAGCTAGCCAGCTAGCCAGCTAGCCAGCTAGCTAGGTGACTAGCAAGCTGGCTAAATAACTAGTTAGTTAGTTAGTTAGCTAGCTAGCTAGCTAACTAGCTCACAAACAAGCTAGCTAGCTAGCTAACTAGCTCACAAGCAAGCTAGCCAGCTGGCTAACTAGCTGGCTAGCTAGGCAGCTAGCCGTCCTGGTGACCGGACGCTAGCTGGCTAACAGCTAGCCAGCTAGCCAGCTAGCCAGCTAGCCAGCTAGCCAGCTGGCCAGCTAGCCAGCTAGCCAGCTAGCTAGCTAGCTAGCTAGCTAGCTGACTAGCTAGCCGCGCAAGGCCCTTCTGCGGAGCTAGTGCAGCTGTTGTTTGTGTGGGGGTTGGAGTTTGCTGCTGGAGCTGCTGCTGGGTTTTGTGTCTCCTGTGTCTTATTGTTTCGCTGCTGCAGTTTGTGTCTCCTTTTAGTTTTGCTGCTGCTGCTGCTGCTGCTGCTGCTGTCTCTTTCCCTTTGCCTCGCGAGTCTCCTTGCTGCCCGCTGCTGCATGCATGCAAAGGCGAAGGGCCTGGGGGTTGTGGTTTGCTGCTGCTGCAGCAGCAGCTTGCTGCGCTGCAGCATGGCCTTGCGGTGCAGCAGCGGGAAGTTTGGGGGGTCTCTCGCGTAGAAGTGTCTCCTGCTGATTGCAAATCTGTCTCTTTTTGCTGCTGCAGCAGCAGCAGCAGCTGCTGCTGCTGCTGCTGCTGCTTCAGAGGCACTAGCCCCTGCTGCAGCAGCAGCTAGCAGCTTGCTGTCGATCTCCCGCTGCTTCCCTGGAATGTAAGGGCGGGCCCTTACGGGGGGATCGATCGATCCCACGCCATCCCCTTCACTGCAGCAGCAGCAGCAGCAGCAGCAGCAGCAGCAGCAGCAGCAGCAGCAGCAGCAGCAGCAGCAGCAGAGCAGCAGCAGCAGCAGCAGCAGCAGCAGCAGCAGCAGCAGCAGCAGCAGCAGCAGCAGCAGCAGCAGCAACCAGAGCAGCAGCAGCAGCAGCAGCAGCAGCAGCAGCAGCAGCAGCAGCAGCAGCAGCAGCAGCAGCAGCAGCAACAGCGAGGGGAGGTGCTAAAAAGGGACGGGGATCTTTTGCTTTTGTGGGCTGCTTTGTCAAAGCGCAGAGCAGACAGGTTGCAGGCCCGGCCAGGGTTTAGGGTTTAGGGTTTAGGGTTTAGGGTTTAGGGTTTAGGGGCCTCACGTCAGTGGCAGCACCTTTCTTGCTGCAGTGTACGCACAGTCCACCGCAGTCGGCTGTGGGGCCTTTGCTTCTGTCTCCGTGCTGCAGCAGCTCGTGTCTTGAGTCTCCCTAAATTATCCAGCAGCAGCAGCAGCAGCAGCAGCAGCAGCAGCAGCAGCAAAAGCAGCAAACGCAGCAAAGAAAGTTGCAACACGAGCAGCAGCAACCGCAGCAGCAACGGCAACAGCAGCAGCAGCAGCAGCAGCAGCAGCAGCAACACGGGCTCAGTGACCACGAGCTTGCTCTTCCTGTCCTCGGGTCGCTTCTTAGCGTCCGATCTTCAAACCCTTGATTCTAAACCCTAATACCCAAACCCTAAACCCTAAACCCTAAACCCTAAACCCTAGGGGGCCTTACTCTTCAACTTGGGGTTTGTAGAGCTGCAGGCGTTTAGGCAGAGCGCTTTGCTGCAGCAGCAACAAACTTCTGGCCTTCATCGTTTGCTGCCGCTTCTTCTCTGAGCCGCAGACTCTAAACCCTAAACCCTAAACCCTAGACCCTAAACCCTAAACCCTAAACCCTAAACCCTAAACCCTAAGCCCGGCCTCTGCAGCTGAAGATGCCCCAGGCCACAATCCACCGAACCCAGGCACCAACCGTAAACCCTAAACCCTAAGTCCTACTTTCTAGACCCTAAACCCTAAGCACTAAACCCTAAACCCTAAACCCTAAACCCTAAACCCTTGCCTTGCCTTTCAAGGCACAGAGCTGCCTGTAGGCGGGGGCGGCCACCACCCAGGGGACATCTGTTGTCCTATACGGCGCAGCAGCAGCAGCAGCAGCAGCAGCAGCAGCAGCAGCAGCAGCAGCCGGAGCAGCAGCAGCAGCAACCGTGCTGCCTTCTCCAGCTCCCCACACTGTGCCATACCGTCTATCTCTACTCTGCTGCTGCTGCTGCTGCTGCTGCTGCTGCTGCTGCTGCTGCTGCTGCGGCTTGGCGCCAGCCCTGCTGAAGCCCCCCCCGTGAGTTGCCCAGGGCAGAAGTTGAATTGTCTCTTTAATTTTATTTTCTTTTTTTTCTTTTCTTTTTAATTGTCTCTTTTCTGCAGCACTGCGGCTGCTTCGGCTTGAAAGCAGAAACCCCGGGGTCTCTGCGCAGCAGCAGCACCACCTGCAGCAGCAGCAGCTGCTGCAGCAGCTGCTGCTGCTGCTCCCGCCGCTGCTGCTGCTCGCCCGGTCCCTAAACACGGAGACGCAAGCGCCAGGGGCCCCCAGGGGGGCCCCCAGGGGGCCCCCGCAGAGGCAATGAGCAGCAAAAGGGGGCCCCCAGCTAGCTGGCTTCCAGCAAGCTTCCCAGTAGGAGAAACTGTCTGGCTTTTCTTTCATTTGCGCGGGGTGGAAGTTCACTCTAAATCAGGGTTTAGGGTTTAGGGTTTAGGGTTTAGGGTCTGGACTTCAAGGCTGATCGCCCCACTGGAGGAGGGAAAGCTGTGACAGGCGCAGCAGAAAGAAGGGAAGCAGCAGCAGAAAATCCAGCTGCAGCAGCAGCAGCAGCAGCAGCAGCAGCAGCAGGAAGCTGCCGTGGGATCGGCCGGTCCCCGAAGGTGACCCCGCGGGGATCCCCAGTCTTCTTCTTCTTCCGTCTTCTTTCTTTAAATGAAATAAATTAAATCTAATGAATCATTTTGTCTTTATTCAATTAACTAGACTCAGCAATCCAGAGATCCACACTGCAGCAGCAGCAGCAGCAGCAGCAGCAGCAGCAGCAGCGAAAAAACGAGATACAGGGGCCCCCGGGGGCCCCCAGGGGCCCCCCAGGGGCCCCGGGGGCCCCCGGGGGCCCCCCTGGAAGTGGGTTTATGTGGGGTTGATCTATTGAAATAAATGAATAAATAAATAAATAAATTAGTAATAAAATTAGTAAAATAAAAAACAAATAAATTTTAAATTTGAAAAAGATAATTCAGCTTTTAGTTGGGACTGCAGCAGCAGCTGCAGCAGCAGCAGCTGCAGCAGCAGCAGCTGCTCGTTGCTGCCTCTGCTGCAGTTTATTTATTTACTTATTTTTAATTTTTGTTAATTTGTTTATTTATTTTAACTGATTTATTAATTCATTTACCTGAAGGCTTTGCCCTTGTCTCCTGGTCCCAAACCCTAAACCCTAAACCCTAAACCCTAAACCCTACACCCTAGACCCAAAACCCTAAACCCTTCCTGTTGCTTACAGAGGCAAAGATGAATTAGCGCTGCTGCCTGCCTTATCTCTGGATCCTAAATGCCAAATTCTAAACCCTAAACTCTAAACCCTAAACCCTAAACTCTAAACTCTAAACCCTAAACCCTAAACCCTAAACCCCAAACCCGCAAACCCGAAACCCCAAACCCGCAAACCCGAAACCGCAGTATTTGTAAGGAAAAAGAAGTTCCTCGAGACGAAAAAGAAGGGAGTTTCTGGAGGGCCACTCCAGGCGGGGGTTTAGGGTTTAGGGTTTAGGGTTTAGGGTTTAGGGTTTTGGCTCTGACGTCAAAGGAATCGCCGGCGCTTAAACCGCTCCTTAATTTTCTCTAAAGAAGCACCTGCAGCCAAAAGCAAAAGCTGACAGCCAACCTGCTGCTGCTGCTGCTGCTGCTGCTGCTGCTGCTGCCGTTTCTGTTGCTGCAGCAGCAGCAGCAAATGCCGCTGCTGCTACAGCATCCCCGACTAGCAGTTGCATGACTGCAACCCATATCCGGCTACGCAGTCCTGGTCCCTAAACCCTAAACCCTAAACCCTAAACCCTAAACCCTAGACCCTAGACTCTAAGCGTAAACCCCGAGAGCTAAACCCCAAAGCGTAAATCCTAAACCCTAAACCCTAAACCCCAAACCCCAAATCCCAAGCCCAAAACCCCAAACCGCAAACCCCAAGCCCAAAACCCTAAACCCCAAACCCCAAACCCTAAACCCTAAACCCTAAACCCTAAACCCTACCCTGATCGTCCTCGAGCTCGGAGTCCTCTGCCTCCAAAAAGCCCCTCGTGAGTCCCCGCTGGGAATCTGCAAAAGCCCTTCGGCTTTTTGCTGCTTCTTGGCGGGCCAGGTAAAGCTGCAGCAGCAGCAGCAGCAGCAGCAGCAGCAGCAGCAGCAGCAGCAGCAAAAGGAGACAGGAGACAAAAAAGTTAAAAAAAGGGCTACAGATGTTAAGGAGATGAAGCGAGTTTGAAAGAATTTAAAGAGATTGAAAAGAATAAAAGAAATATAAAGATTAAAAAGGTTAAAAAGAAATTTAAAAAAGAATAAAAGGAAATAAAAAGACAAAAGAGACAAAAGGAGATCAAAAAGATTAAAAATATAAAAGGAGATTAAAAGAGACAAAAGATGTGGGGCGATAAAAGGAGACAAAGGAAACAGAAAAGAATAAATAGAAATAAAAAACAAAAAGAAAAGTAAAAGAAGATAAAAGAAAAAAGGAAATAAAGAAGATAAAATGCAAAAGGAGACAAAATGATAAAAAGACAAGAAACAAAGAAATGACAAAAGAGACAAAAAGGAAAAAATGAAAAAGACAAAAATGTAAAAAAGACAAAAGGGACAAAAGGGACTCTAAAAGAAAGACAAAAAGATAAACAAAGTCGTGAATAAAATAAAGAATAAAACAAAGAAAGAAAAAGATTAAAGAGAACAAAAGTGCCAAAAAAAGAAACAAAAAGAAACAAAAAGAGACAAAAAAGAAACAAAAAAAGACAAAACAAAAAGGGACAAAGAGAAAACGAAAAAGACAAAAAGGACAAAAGGGGGATAAGAGGGACAAAAAGGAGACAAAAAAATTAAAAAGCAGCAAAAGAAAAAAAAAGAAAACAAAAAAAAACAAAAAAACAAAAAGCGAAAAAGGAGACAAAAGAGACACCACTGAGAGGGGAAAAAGCAAAAGAAATGGAGGAGACAAAGCGCAGCAAAAGGAGACGAAAAGAACCAAAAAGAAGCAAAAAGAATTTAAAAAAATAAAAATAAAAATAAAAAATAAAAATAAAAAATAAAAAATAAAAATAAAAAACAAAAGACCTGCTGCTCCGCTGTCTCCTCCATTTGCACAAGTTCTGTTGCTGTCAAAGCAGTTCTGCTTTTTGCTGCTTCTCGCAAAGAGCTTTTCGACTTTGCCAAAAAAGACCCCGGGCCTAAACGCAAACCCTAAACCCTAAACCCTAAACCTTAAACCCTAAACCCTAAACCCTGGTTTAGGGTTGGACAGCGCGCACGCCCGTGCAGCTGCGGGCTCGCTCGGAGAAGCGCAATAAGAGCGACAGCAAATGTGCAGCAGCAGCAGCAGCAGCAGCAGCAGCAATGGCAATGGAAGCAGCAGC